GGACTTTTCCTTTAAGTATTACTGATAGAGTTTGTAGCAAATAATCATTTCCCTCTGGAAGTGCAGCGTACTGTTTATACAGTCACCAAATGAAGCTGTTACTCAAACAGTTACGGAGGCTTTCAGCCTGTCAATATGCATTGGCCAAAGACTGGTTCCAGCCGTCCAATGAATCAATCCTTACCTTCAGACTCATGTGCCATCAGGTCAGTAATGAGCAGAGTCTCCACTCCTATAAATCTTTGCTTGTCATGGATACAAACAAATAGCCAGCGAGGCTCAGCTTGAGCAGACTTCAGACACAAAGCGTCAAATATAACAAAGCCATTTCCTCCCTTTATTGAACCCAAACTGACCCTGACTGGATGCAGGAGCTCCGGTTCACAGCTATTAGCCAAGAAGGTACCTGCAGTTCCTGCATTTAAAAAATGTCCTGCTCTTACGGACACAGTCCATTTCAGGTCTCAAGTGGGAAACTATTGATTGAGCCACAAATCTAACAAAAGAAGCTTAGACTGAATAACACCCACTCTCCGAGATCAATCCGGAAACATGACTCAGCGTGATATTGCTCTTTTGGTATAAAAAAAGGGATCTGCTACTCCCCAGGGGCAAGTCAGAGTTTTTAATCAGCAGCCAACATGTTGCTGCTGCTGCTGGCAGCACTTCCAACTGGAATCAGACCAAGCAGTCTAACATTTAACACCTCAACAGCCGTAGTGGGAATAAAACAGCAGAACTCCAAGTCTCCCCTCTCCCACTCGCTATCCTTCTTCTTTTCATCCACCCCACCACCCATTTCCCATCTCTGGTCCCTCATTTTATTGCTCTTTTTTTTGCCTTCGCATGCCGTGTCTCTGGTGGGTTGACATTTTTGGCCGAGCTCCCAGATAAGAGAGTGGTATGAAAGCAGTGTGGTGGAACAGTTATTATAGGCAGCATGCTCTGATCAGGGAGGTTTGAGATCCCAGTGACAAAGACTCCTCTTATCACACGCAGGACTAATTTGGAACGAGGGGCGCTGAGGCTTTGCATCAGACCCCCCCACCCCCACCCACGCCGTAAGATCAGATTTACAGTCAGAAAAGCCTCTGCATATTTATCCGGCTGGTTTGGAGGTGTAGAAACTTGGTAAACTTGAAGGTTTTATAGAGTCACACTTCGTACGGAAACATTTTACAAAATATTTTCATTCCCAAAAATAAACCCCTCAGTCTTCTCCCCATTTTGCAGCTGTTTGGTTTCTGCCCACAGCAGCAACCTTTCCACATCAGTCCAGTCGAGGCGAGCACCCATTTGCACGCAGCTTTGTTTCCTGTCACAATCACTCTGTATTTAAACACAAACATTTTAATGCTTTAGAAATAAATAATTGTGTTTTTTCTTTTGTCATTCTTTCTTACTAAACTGCCAGCATCCTGAAAAAGCTTTTTATTGGGTTTAATTTCATTTTCAAGCTCTTTATTAGATCATTTGTCTTTATTTTGCGCCCTTTATAAGCTAAACATTTAAAAAGGCAAAGAAGATTTTCACTCGCATTCAAACTGCATTTCTTTTGGAATTTGTTTTTGTATTCTAAACATTTGTTCTCAGGCTCGGATGTTAAAACCCAACAGAAACTGGTTTGGTTTTAGTGTTTAACATTATGTAAAATGTCTCATTTCCACTTATTGGAGAAAACAAAAAACAAAAAAACAGATACTTTATTAATTGAATCAGCCATTTGGGATTAAAAATTCAGAAAATATCTGAAAAACTATTAACTATTTTGAGCTCAAAAGTAAACCATCACTTTATTAGATTTAGATATTAAAATGATTGACTGACGTTAACTCCGAATCAAATTAAATCAATGTGTTTGATAATATATAGAAAATGTAATAACTCTTAAAACTAAGTCAAATTAAAATTAATTATGCAGTTTAAATCCTTAAATAAATGTAGAAAAGGATCTTTGTTTTTATATCAGGGGATGCTACCTCTGCTTCCTGCCTTTCCTTCCCAGCCTGGCCCAAACATCGTCCCCTTAGGGCATCACTAAGAGCGCCGCATCAATCACTTCACTCCAACCAATCATTGCAGAGCAAATATATTTGGAATCAACTTATCAAACTCACAATAAAAAATCTGTTGCACACAACAAGGTTTGGATTCTGACTTTAAAAAGGATGATTATAAGCATAGATTTATAATTTATGCAAACACTAGGAGGAAGTGGGCGGAGCTCCGTAGTACAGAGGAGCAGCTCCCTGAAATCTCTTTTTTCTTCCCAGCTCTACGGCTGCCATCTTCTTTATTGTTTTCTGTTGAGCTAAAATGACACCAGTGTATCTCTATTGTTTCAGTGCGTCTGTACATTTGATACCTTGCTTGGTTAGGAAGAAAAGAGAGATCATGTGCTGTTAGTGGGATTTTAATAAATACACAGAAATGTGATCAAACTATGGAAACTAATGGAGATTGATGTTTGCTCTGTAAAAATTATTGTGGAGCTTTTCCTTTGCATCTAAATTCACAATTGGACACATGTGCAGTTTCAGGTTTTGCAAACATTTATTCCTAACCACCACCAGTTTTGTGCATCTATCCCAGAATGCGTTAATCCGGTCTTCCTTTTTTAGGAATAGAACAGTTTAAAGTTGGAACACAGCTTGACTCCCATGATGCAAATCTGTCAGCGCTACAGATTCATTTTCAGCAAACTTACAGTCATGAAGCCGTCCAGTAGACCAGAGTCAGGTTTAGGTGGAGCCTGTAGTCTCTCCATGGACCATTTCTCTATGATTGACGCGACTTGGCTGTTTTCTGTGTTTAGGATTCTAAATCCCGTCATGTTCACACCACTGTATCGGTAAGGCTCCACATCCAGTGCGAACAGATCCTGGAAAAAAAAAAAGAAACAGGTGAAGATCAGAGTTTGAGCCACAGACCTGCCTTGGAAAACACATTGCTTTATGACATGTTTCCTAGCTAACATTAACACTTTGGTACACTGATGTCACATTTAGGACATTAAGTTACGATGGTCTTGCCTCTTGCCCTGCAAATACATACATGTACATCAAATACAAAAAGTACCGTAAAAACCAAAACATTTGACTAACAGCAAAAAGCAGCTGCTGTTAGGAATCCAGTTTGTGTGGGTTGTGCTTTAGTTTATTTTCCCTCCACCACCAGGTGGCGCCTGGTTCTCGTCGGCCTCCTAACACACCTGCGGATGGTTGCCTCATTACCGGAGGATTCTTAAGCTGCTGACTGCCACTACCTCCACGCCAGAGTGTTTGCCAGTTTTGGTACTCTAGCCAAGCTGAGTTTTGCTGAGTCAAACTGAGTTTTTGTCAATCTGAGTCTTAACCTTGTTGTTTTTTTTTGTCTTTGCCTCTCGGCAGGAAGTAATCCTGCAAACTGGATGTTTTGGACCTTCTCCCCCCTGGAAGGATTCTCTGAGCATCAAACTGAGCTGAGGATTCAAACTGGTGGTTTGGATCTACTTTTCCCCAAGGATTGTTTGGGCGTCTCTCTGAGCAGGGGATTATTCTCCACAAGAAACCGTTCAAGTACCGCCGGAAAACTAAGTGGCAGTCAGCACCTCCGTCCCTCAAGCAAAAACCGCAACCTGGGTAAGCCCTGTCCGCCCTCCAATGAACAAGGCAACAACAGTCGGTGTGGAACAACTCACACCAACTGGATTCAACAAGAGACACCTTTTCCTGGAAACGTGAGTCCTGTTGCCTTTATTGCCTTCTTCAAATCGAAGACACAAATTTCCCACTGAGCCTGAACTAACAGCAGAATCTTCCCCTTCACTTTTCAGTCCCGGCTTGACAGTGTTCAGAGCAGCACTGGACTCCTCTCTACCAACTCACAATAAAACCTGTTAAACTTTTCCCTGGTCTCTCTGTTTGGTCTTCTCCATGTGGGTCAGAGCTTTAGTTAAAATCATGACAGCTGCCTGGAAAAAATGCTGCAAACTAGCTTTGCAGAACAGAGAGACCACAGGGGGGATTTATCAACACATGGCACGAAACCATGTAAGTTAGCGAACATACAACTATCCACTATGGAGCGCCACTTTCAGCTCTCCTTAACTTGCAGTTTTTTGTCACTTGCACCATTTATTCTTTTCATGTGTTTTGTGTGTTAGCATCATTTTCCCCCATTTTTGTCCGTTTGAAGCCTTTCTTCTTTGCTTGATAGTTAGTCTTAGTCTGTTTTATTTTCTATATTTGCAGCATGTTTCCTATTTATTGGGCATTAGCACATTTAGTGCTTTTCATTCTCATCCACCACATAAAGGAGATTGCTGATTTATTCTGAACTGATTTGCATGGATTCCACTTCATAAGGAAGTTTTCCTCTTAGAGAGAAGCCCGGGCCTTGGCCACTAAAAGGGACTGAAGTTAAAAGTTTCAGAATAGTTGGACATGTTTTGCTGTCAGTGAAAGATTATAAATTTATCTCCCAGACAGTGTAAAGAGATTTTCCTCCAGTTGTTTTTCTCAGAGTGCATCTTTAACAGCATCTAAAAATCTACCTTTTGTCTAATTCTGTAAATTTCTTTTGTTAATTTTTTCTTAATTAATGTAAATGCTTGTTTTACTCAAAGTGCGGCATTCAGTTCTTTAGGTAAAATTAAATGTATTATTTTAATTTTATTCTTTCCAATCTGTTCTAATTGCAAACTACATGAGAAAACTGATGGAAATGTGTGAAATCTGCCACCTTTGCAGCATCGAATCACATTCTCGTTTTAGAGCATTGTTCCTTTCTGAAAGAAAAAAGCTTTCAGTCAGAAATGGCAACATAATCATACTCATAGAAGCTGGTTGGGCATTTTTTATATTTTAATCCACCCCCCTCATTCAAATAAGCTCAGATAGATTTTTTCTTAAGACATTGAGTGGGAGAAAACATGTTTAACCTTTTCTAAGTGAAACATTGTTTATTACTTTACTTAAGCCAACAATTTCATATTGGTTACAGTATGGGGACGACATACCAACTTTGGGAAACCATAGACCACAGCTGAAGATGGCTACCAAAGGCTAATAAAACCCAGCTGATCACTTCCAAATGTCTTCCAACACACAGCAGGACATGACAGCCTATTACTGATAACTGATCAATACAGTTTGAAGGCGCAGGCGAACAAAAGGAGAGCAAAGCAGGAGCAGAAGTCTGGCAGCAGAACGGCTGCCATATGTGGCCCCAGTATGACGTGGTTGTTCAGTGTGCCTGAAGAATCAAGCTTTCAGTTCAGGACTCTGCCAAACACAACGATTGGATATAATGAGAGACCCCCCCTTCAGATTTTGTATATCATCTCTCAGAAAACACCAGAGGGATGTTTAATTATCTTGCAGACTCTCTTCCCTGTGAAATACACGCTAAAACAAAGCAGTCAGTTTCTTTACTTCAAGATAATAAGGCAAATAAATTTTATTCTGATAAACCTAAAAAAAAAAAAGAAACCTACAATAACGTAAAGAAATTTATCAATTTGGTAGAAAGCAGGAAAGTCTAAAGATTAGATATGATGAATATTAGTCAATCTCAAACTTCTGTTTCGTTTCACTACCAACCACTGGAACTGATTACTATTGGTAGATCAATAACAGAAATAAAAACACAAAGATAACCTTAAAGGTTTAATTTCTTTGACATGTATGACTCACCAGTCATAACAGATTAGTTTAGCCACTGAGAGACTATCATAGAACATTAACAGGGAGTTCATGGATAAAGTGCAGCTTTCACAATATTAAAAACTTGCAGTGCAAAAAAAAAACAAAAAACTGTCAGATGCATAAACCCCTTGTTTACATGTTAATGGAAAGTATCCTTATAAATTTTGGCCAACTTCTTTGGGAAAATAAACACATATGTAGATCAGTCCAAACACCTGGAAGGCACATAAACCATGGAAACAGCAGGTTGTCAGGCCATCATTGAGACATTATGGGTGACTTCAATTTCAGCGGCTGCGTCCTCCAAGGACCCGGTCTACCTGGACTGGATCCTTCGAGATCCGTGACAATAAGGAGGCTGGAGAAGTTTTGGCTATGGATTCAAACAGGTCCTTGCACTACTTTCGAAGGCTGTCCACTTCGCCTAACGTGGACAGTGTCAATTGTAACCGGCTAGCAACCTGACAATTGACACACAAAGCAGGCAATAGTTACCAACTTCTCTCTGTTGTTCTGGGAAATAAGCTCCCAGAACAATAGAGGCCAATAGAGGCCAATTTTGGAGGCCAATTTTTGGACCAATAACCTAGCCATAGTTAAATATTGATTGGCAACTGTGCCTTTAAAAGTGTTCAGTCTTTCTCCAGTGTTTGAGGACGGGTTGTGTATAAGATATATATGATCAGTCTTGAGAGGAAAAATCTGGAAACCTGTCAGTTGAAGAAAAGGTGTTGAAAAAAGTCTGCAGGGACTTTTATTGGAAAGGTCTGAGCCTCTAGTTTCCAATTAGGGGGTGTGGCTAAAAATGAATACCTGCTGTTGCATTACTCCCGCAGAATTTGGGTGGCATTTTAAATCTCATTAAATCTTTATAAAACAAAAGATATTTTTGAAAAAAAATAAATTTAAAGCGTGTTTTAGAAGACTTAAAGCCCCCTTTGAAAGGCATGTGGATGAAACACCATGTGACTGTGTTTGGGCCGTTTCTATAAATAGATCAACATGAGCAGGTGTCAGTTGGGCCCTGTACCGAGCCTGCGGGGCTTAAGGGGTTAAGTCTCTGCACGCTGCTGCCAGTGGCCTTCAGGGCTGCTAAACCTCAAAGTTACAGGTCTAGCGCCTCTAGTGGCTATAAATTACACAAGCGTTCGATTCCCCTCAAGTTTGAATAAAATACGGTTACATATCAGTGTATGTGGCTAAATATTGTTCTACTCTGTGTTTTGCTGGTGAAGATTCTGAGTAATTCAGGTCAGAGTCATTCAAAAAGAGTAAAAAAAAAAAAAAAAAACATCCAACAAAGTCCAGTGGATTATTATTTTAACTTTTTTGGAATACTCTTTGGTTTGTTGCTTTCATTGAAAAACATTCTGTGGCTGCCAGAAAACAATGCAGCTTTTCATTGTGTTTAGGCACATCTTATGGACGAGGCCCCGGATGAGAGTAAAGCATGAATTAAATGTAATATTAAATATTTGGAAGAAAAGCAAAGCAAAAATAATTAAACTTTAGAAAATTATCCTCATAAACTTAGCCCTAAACAAGAAAACCATAAGATTTGAGGATCAGAGGAGGTTTGAAGTCACGCTAATAGTCGGAGGGTCCCTGCTTTTGTCTTTGCTTTGATGTTAATTAGGATCTACATTTACAGAGATTTTTGTTTTTAAATGTTTGCTTCTGTTTCCAAGCGCAGCACATTAAACTTATATTTGCTTTGAGTCTATTTCAGAAAGCTACTCAGGGTAAGAAAAAAAGTGATATCATAAAAAAAGGAAAGTTCAAAGTTTCCACTTACTACAATATTAAATCTAAATTGAATAAACTAAGACCGGAGGACGCCGGATTACTAAAGCATTACTTTCACCAGCTTCTGATGTCTTTTTACAGCAAGTTTTCACTTCAGCTTCCTAATCTTTGAATTTGGGTGATGGTCTCATGACCAATGTATCTTCCATATTCACCATGCTTTAGGGCCCCTTGCACACCGATTTAGCCAGCCAGCGTCTGCCTGACGTCCCAGAATCTCCTAAAATGCTGGCATATGATTAACTTTCTATGTATTCTTTTATTTTGGGCATATATGTACTAGGGGTGGAACGGTTCACAAAATCCACGGTTCAGTTTGATTCACGGTTTTAGGTTCGGTTCGATTCGGTACATGTTGATTGTTACACCGAAAATAAATTAATGAAATGAATGAAAAAATTCCCCCAAAATTTATGAATTGTAATTATTTTCAATGATCCGCGGAAACCCTGGATCATTTCCGTATGTTTTGCTGCTTTGAATTTAATCATCTGGCGCATGCCCTCTACCATCTCCAAGGAACTCAGAGCGGAGCGACGGGAGCCACAGTGGAGGCTGTAGGCTTTGCTTTGAGCAGGCGGTCTGGAGCGCAGCGGGGCGGAGCGCTGACGGAGTATGTGGGATTTCAGGGTTAGCATGACATGTTGGTCATGTTGCTGTTAGCATAACCAAAACGTGTTGCACAATGCTTGCACACTGTTGCACTTTTATCCACCACTTTCTTTCCGCCGTCATCGTAGGTCACTCTAAATGCAAAGTGGTCCCATACAGCAGACCTATAAAGTGCTGCTGGCGCGTCTTCCAACTCCTGTTCTTTCCCACTCGCCATACCCACACAATTCTCCACAACAACTGATTTTTTTCTGCTACACCCGGCTACGCTGCTTCGCTTCTTCTTCTTCTTGTTTACTACTGGTGGTTGGCTTTGGTTGCAGTACCGCCACCTTCTGCTCTGGAGTGTAAACGCTTCGCCTATGAGAAAAAGGAGCAGCGCATGAACCGAACGAAACACACGCGAACTGAACCGAGACAGTCGAACCGAACGGTTCGGACGGTTTTCATAAATCATCCCATCCCTAATATGTACATAGAGTATTCATATAGAGTCCAGAACTTATTTCCAACAACCACCTAACTTATGCATAACACACGGCAGCGTAATGCCCTGCCTGCATAAAATTCTGTCTTTAATTTACAACCCGGTAAAGAAAGAAGATATAAAATTTGTCGTTATACAGTAGCTGCAATTTAGAAACACGTTCAGCGCTCGTCTGGAACACGTCAGATACACTGATATGCGTGGGAGAGAAGTTCTGGATAAGTTACGCAGAAGTTATGAACAAGTTACTCAGAGGTTTAGGATAAACTAGACGCCACGACTGATGAGTAACTGACACTGAACGGATGTCAACCATCAGATAACTGACCTGGAACTGATGGACCACATATGGCATATGCTGGCATGTGTTGGGAAATTTTCAGCATGCTCAATATTTATCGATCTACTTGCCGTATGTCAAAGTGTGTAAGCATAACTCAGCGTGCTCATTACTTATACAACGTATGCCAGCGTTTTTACATCCATACATCAGGCATATAGTGGTCTAAATCGTCAAGGTGTGACAGAGCCTTTAATTGCTATTGTTAATTCTATAATGTATGGCAAGATTTTATATTTCATCCTCTTTTACCTTCATTGATTTTTTTCCCTTTAGCAATAAATAATTTTCATTTTCCTATTTTTGGTTTTACACATTTTAATCAATAAACATATTTTCTTAATTTCTATTGCTTCTATTAATTGTCATTTTGGTCCTTCTTCATCATCCTCTTCCTATCTGTGAATTTATAAAGCTGCCACTGCTTCCCTGACAGTTGTGTTTTCTCTAGTTACATTCACAGTATAACAATTTATTTGTTTGTTTGTGGTCTCACTGGTTACAGTATGCTAGTTTTAGTGTGTGTTGTAATCAGTTTTTGAGGCTTGTTTGTTTGCAACCTTGACTTCTTCCTTAACCCCTAGAACCCTACGGACCCACCGGTGGGTCCAGCTGCTACGTGACCTCATAATCTTAACAAACCCCCAGTATTGATGTAAAAAACATATTTGGCACAGTTTGGTGACATTTATGGATAAATGTGCCAAAATGGCCTCCCCGCCTAAGAAATTTCT